TTTTTTTTGCTACTTAGTTTTGGTTTTTGGATAGTTAAGACTAAAAAGTTTTTTAAAGGTACAGCTCGAGTTCAGACTAGTGCTCGTCAAAATCGGGTCCAACCCGGACCCGGACCGGGCATCGGGTCCGGGTCCGGGTCTACCGAAATTTTTTTGAACGGGTCCGGGTCGGGTCCGGGTCCAAAAAATATTTATTGGGCGGGTCCGGGTCCGGGTCCGGGTCCAAAAAAACGTGGACCCGATGGGCTCTACCTTCAGTTCAGAGCACAGCTTAAACAAAAACCAATATATTATGATCATTTTATTGTAAAAAAAGTAGAACAAGATCGACACTTTAGTAAACATGATTCCAAAACGCTCTCTTCATCACTCACATTTACGATTTAGCCAATCGTTTATTCTTCTGAGTAAGTTCATACACACGATCTAAAACTTTCGTCTCGATTCCATTGTTGAACAGAGTAAGTGTTGTAAGTGTCTGTGTAAAAGAGTACAAATGTATGTATGAAATAGTTGAAGAAAACATTAGATTTACTGTATTGGTTTTTAATAAATCAACAAGATGTTGTGCTCCCTTCTCTCCAATTTGATTGTGGTCGAAATAAAATGTGGTGAGTGTCTGTGTGAAAAGCGTAAATGTGTGTATGAGATTGTTCAAGATAGAATAAGATTTACTGTATTGTTTCTTAATGAATCAGCAAGACATTGTGTTCCTTGGTCTCTGATTTCATTGAGGTCGAGATAAAGTGTGGTCAGTGCCTGTGTGAAAAAGTGTCAATGATTCTATGAGATAGTTGAACAGAAAAAATGAGATTTACCGTATTGTTTCTTAATGAATCAGCAAGGTATTGTGCTCCTTTATCGCCGATTTGATTGCATGCGAGGGCAAGTGTAGTGAGTGTCTGTGTGGAAAAATGTATATGTGTGTATGAGATAGTTGAAGAAAAAATGAGATTTACTGTGTTGTTTCTTAATGCATCAGCAAGATGTTGTGCTCCTATGTCTCCGATGTGATTAAAGTGGAGATTAAGTGTGATGAGTGTCTGTGTGAAAAAATGTAAATATGTGTGAGATAATTGTTAAGAAAATGGGACTTACTGTATTGTTTATCAATGCAGCAGCAAGATATTGTGCTCCCTTCTCTCCGATTCCACTTTCACGGAGATCAAGTGTGGTGAGTGTCTATATGCAAAAGTGTAAATGTGTGTATGAGATAGTTGAAGAAAAAATGAGATTTACTGTATTATTTTTCAAAGAATCAGCTAGATGTCGTACTCCCATCACTCCGATATAATTGCCAGCAAGAATAACTGTGGTGAGTGTCTGTGTGAGAAAGTGTAAATGTTTGTATGTATGAGATAGTTGAACAGAAAAAAGCACTTACAATCTTGCTTCTTAATGAATCAGTAAGATGTTGTACTCCCTGATCTCCGATTCGATTGCCAGCAGGATCATGTATGATGATTGCCTGTATGACAAAGTGTAAACGTGTATACGAGATAGTTGAAGAGACAATGCATTTTACTGTGTTGTTTTTTAATGAATCAACAAGATGTTGTGGTTCCTTCTCTCCGATTCGATTACCGACCGGCTCATGTATGATGATTGCCTGTGTAAAAAAGTGTAAATATTTATATAAGATAGTTGAAGAGAGAATGAGACCTACTGTGTTGTTTATTAATAAATCAGCAACATGTTGTGCTTTTTCGTCTGTGATTTGATTCTTGTAGAGACGAAGTGTAGTCATTGCCTATGTAAAGAAGACGTAGGACACCTTAGTCAGGATTTCTCTATGCATTAGACCAACTTTGAGCAACGGTTGACCGAGATAGAAGTCCACGAGCTCTATCAAATGGCCGACTTAATTTTTTGATTTGACCGTCCTATCGCGGAAAAAACCTTAGTAGGGTATGGGTGTGTGTGATTACTCTTCGAGCGAGATCTACATTCACACCTTTGTCTGATGGTTCCATGTCCGAGAGGAAGTATATTGCACTTGTATCGAAATAATTATTAGAAAAAAATAGAGGGAAGCAATGGTTGTTTTTTAAAAGATTACCTAGTATTATGACTGACTAGCTTTCCCCAAATGATTCTAACTTGGTAAATTATTTTGCCTCTGAATAAATTCATTGACTAATATTTGACTATGCTTATAGGTCGTACAAATGATAGTTATCTATGGAGACTACATAAAAGACTTACCTGGTATCGCGGATAAGTGTTAAGGATTTGATTGAATCGATGGCAGACATTTTGCATAGACCAGAACAATGTAAAGTCGTTCTCATGGTCCAGAATTCGATAAACGAGCTCTACTGGTAATGTAAGAAATGTGCACATACTTTTGTTAGATTTTGATGAATAGTGTTAAAATATGTTATGTGATATTGCTTCTGTATGCTTTAATAATAGCGTTTGGAGGGAAAATGATACAATTATCTCGTCGCTAAAAGAATTGATTAGTGACAATTTCAATAACGAATTGTTAGTTTTGTTGAAAAAGATGGCGTTAATGTATATGTTTAGTAGATTTTGATGAGAAAATAATATATAATGTGGATGAATATTTTTTTAGTCTTCTTTTTATGATCAAGAGTGTCTAAAAAAGAACAAATAGTTAACTTTTCCAACAGTATTTTTTTGAATTTGACTAAATAATGTTGAGAGTGTGGATTGTTCTTATCACAACCACATCTTATAGATCATAAACAACCCAGATCGGTTTTATCTATTGGCTCAAGTAAGTGTATGACTGAACTTAACATTTTGACCTGTTGTCAGGCGAAACGGTCAAGAAAGAATGAAAATAGAAACAAAGATCGGTGAAACTATAGGAAGTGACCGATGTGTATGTGTATGCACGACGGGCATGTTCGGTCAAGAATATGTAAGAGATCGTGATGGATGAAATTCGTCACATATCTGTCAATGTTACTGTCTTCAGATTTGCACTCATATTTTGCATCCCCTACTCAAAAATTTGATATTTTATTCAAACTTTTGAAGAAACACCACTTACTCAAAAAACTAAGACATATCCAGTCTACATTCAAAATATTCAGTCTCTTATTGGAATCTCTCGTAATCCTTTTTATGCACTATATTGTAACACAGAAGTTTATCTAAATGGCTACGATGAACATTTTGATCATGTTACTATTTACTAAGAGTGGTGTGTGAGGGTGTGGATGAGCTACTTATTGTGTATATCGACATGGACACCCACATCATACACCCTCAAGATTAATAATTGAAAAAAGACAAAGATGAAAATATTGCATGTATCATTCTTTATTTTTAGTCTTGATTATTAAACGAAATTTAGTAAAAAAAGAAAATAAATTAAACTAAAAGATAAGTTTGAAGATATTTGGCAATAATTAAACGTTCTTGATATGCAATTAAACATTTCATATTCATTGCTTGATAAAGCTACAAAACTATATATTTACTTGATAGTGATATTGTGGATGCATCTAATTTAAATCGATAAATCAAAAGTAGAAGCTGTAGCTCAACATCTGAAATGCATGCATAATTTAAGAACAAATATTTATGAATATCATATGGATGCTGTTACAAATTGGTCTTGTGTTGTTATCATAGCCAAGAAATGTAAAGTTATATTTAATAATAGTGAAATTAATCTATTTTTTGGATTATTAAATGATTCATGTTGGGCATGTAATAATAATACAATGATTCATTCAAATTTAAAATTCAAGAATGTTTGAATGAGTTCAATTTACATTAACCTTCAACATTACAATTATCAACAAAAAGTACTGAAATTATTGCTACTAGAATCTATACAATTACATCAATCAGTTGAATTCATATCAAAAGATAGATCATTTTCAACGAGAACAGTTGGAAGTTGGATTGGTGTGTTTGTTTCTGAAGCCTATTTAATTGTCAATACATGGATATAATATCTAATGAATCATTTTATAATTGGAGTCAACTAAACTTATCAATATTTAATGGTGGATATTATACTGTAGGATTTTCAAATGAACAAACTCTTCAGTGTTGTCCCATTTGTTCAAATGCAAAACAAATAGCAGAAGAAAATTCACATTCAGAAAAAAATATATCAACATAAATGTGATAATTTAGAATTGATTTATGAATAACCTTTTCTTTTTGAATAAAAATAACATATCACAGGTAAAAAAAATATACTCACCCTCAAGAAAACAATAAAGCTCCTACGATATTCTCAAATCAATAGCTATTTCTCATTCACTGATACAATCCTTTTGTTCTAATAAATTCCTTGCGGCCATTTAACTACAAAACGATGTACGATGAAGAGAAGTAACATTTACTGAATAGATCATGTTTCTATTTCTAATCCATTTCAATAACAAAAGTATCGGTGACATATTGAATTACTAAAATATTTGCATCGATAAAGCCAAAAAAAGTTGAAAAAATAACGATGAATCGAAATCATTTCGTTTTGTCGCAAACGTTGTTAAAAAATTTATTTATACTGATCTTTCTTTTGCTCGTCGCAACAGTATTTTAAAAAGTCACTAGTTGAAGTTTCTCATTGAACCTTAGCAAAAATATACACACATTTTACATGCTAAAAAAGACTGGAAAAATATGCCATTGCTATTATAAATAGGAGTGGTGCGTCTTCGTGTGAAGTTCTTGTTAGAGGGTGTAGACTGACTTAAATCTCCAGTATAATCGTAAGCTGAATAACGAACTAGATAGTTGGGATCAAGAGGCTATCGAGAGAAAACTCATTATGAAAAGTGCCCACCATGCCTTGTATAGAATAAAAAGAGTAATGATGATGATATCCGTATTTTATTGAAGGCAACAAGATCAGATCAATAACAAGAACTGGGCAAAAAAGAAAAAAACAACTCTATATACATAACAAAAGAGGAAAAAAAGAAAAAAAGCAATAGGAGAAGGTCGTCATAATATCACGATAATCAAGCGGAGAATATATATTCGAGAGGAAAGAAAGAATCTGTAGATGTATACTGGGAATAGAAAGATGTATAGAAGAGAAAAAGAAAGATAGATCGGCGTCATGGATAGAACAACACATGATGCTAACCCTTCTTACCATTTAGAAAACAACAATTATTGCTAATCTTATGTTCAACATCAAATTATAAAAAGGATCAAATGAGCGGATCAGAATTCAATTTAAGAGCTTCTTTATCATCAAACACGTTTATGAATAACAACAAGACGACCACAACATCATCGGATGCTATTCAACCAAGGCGACGAATGGTTCGAAATTATTCGCTTCTATGTTTAGTTGAGTATATGGATGAAACGAATCAAGAATATCAAAGCATTTTGACACAATTAAAAACTATTGCTGACAATGTCAATATCTTTAAGCAGCGAGACGAATGTATCGACTTTCTTACAGATGCTGAAGAAGACATCATGTCTTTTCTTGTTCTTGAAAACACTATGGCTCAACACATATTGCCGCTCATTAATGATATCCCTCAATTGCATAGTGTTTGCATCTTCAGTAACATTGAATCCCAACATGAAGAATGGACAACAAAATGGCAAAAAGTCAGCGGTGTTTATACCAACATCGATGATTTATACAAAGTATTACAACTGCATATTAAGAAATGCAATCAAGATTCGATTGCCATGAGTTTTATCACGGCAAATGAAATGATTTCAACTGATAATTTAAATCAATTAGAACCAACATTTATGTATACTCGAATATTCAAGGAAATTCTCCTTGATATGAAATACGATAAACAGATCGTCAAACAGTTTACAACTTATTGTCGACAACATGGCTACGGATCAGCAAAGAATATTGATCAGTTTGAAAACGAATACTATACTCAATCAGCTATTTGGTGGTATACTTCTCCCTCATTTATCTATTCTATGCTGAATTACGCTCTTCGCTCTATGGAAAGCGATATCATTATTAACATGGGCTTTTTCATGCATGACCTTCACCAACAAATTCAACAACTACACCAACAACAACTTAATAGTTATCACGATAAACCATTCATCGTTTACCGAGGACAAGGTCTATCCAAAACAAATTTTGAAAAACTGCAACAAACAAAAGCTGGTTTAATGTCCTTTAATAACTTTTTATCCACTAGTACGGAGGAAGACATCTCCCTGTTATTTGCCCAGAGCGCGTCAGATAATGTGGACATGGTCGGCATTCTTTTCAAGATGTTAATTGATCCACGTGTTAAATCAGTGCCATTTGCCTCCATCAAACAGACGAGTTATTATAACGAGGAAGATGAAATTCTCTTCTCCATGCATACCGTTTTTCGAGTGGGTGCAATCAAACAAATGGATAATAAAAATCAACTTTATCAAGTTGAATTACAATTAACGTCAGATGATGATCAACAACTACAATTGCTTACTGAGAGAATACGAGAAGAAGGTGGTGGTGGTACTGGATGGTATGCACTGGGTAACTTATTGCTTAAAATCGGTCAATTTAATAAAGCTGAAGAACTTTATAACGAATTATTCGACCTGACATCTGATGAGGGTGAAAATCAGTATTATTATAATCAGCTGGGATATATCAAAAGTGCACAGGGTGATTATGAAAAGGCTATTTGGTATCACGAACAAGGACTACAAATTTTGCAAAAACAATTTCCCTCTAATCATCCTGAGTTGGCTACTACATACAACAACATCGGTAATGACTATCAAAAAATGGGAGAGTACTCGAAAGCACTTTTATCTCACGAAAAAGCACTTGAAATTCAACAGAAAGCTTTTCCTTCAACTCATCCTTCATTGGCTACTTCATACAACAACATCGGTAATGTGTATGAATACATAGGAGAGTACTCGAAAGCACTTTCATTTTTCGAAAGCGCACTTGAAATGTTGAAAAAAACTCTTCCTACAAATCATCCTTTACTGGCCGCGTCATACAATAATATTGGTGCTGTGTATTATAAGATGGGAGAATACTCGAAAACACTGTCATTTTATGAAAAAACACTTGAAATTTGGCAAAAAACTCTTCCTTCAAATCATCCTTATTTCCCTTATTTATACAACAACAATGGTAGTGTGTATCACAACATGGGAGAGTACTCGAAAGCACTTTCATTTTACGGAAAAGCGCTTGAAATTCGAGAAAAAATTCTTCCTTCAAATCATCCTGATTTTGCGTACTCATACAACAACATCGGTTCGGTGTATGACGAGATGGGAGAGTACTCGAAAGCACTTTCATCTCACGAAAAAGCACTTGAAATCTTTCAAAAAACTCTTCCTTCAAATCATCCTTCATTGGCTACTTCATACAGCAACATCGGCGGTGTGTATGACAAGATGGAAGAGTACTCGAAAGCACTTTCATTTTATAAAAAAGCACTTGAAATTTTGCAAATAATTCTTCCTTCAGATCATCCTGATTTGGCTAGTTCCTACCACAGCATCGCTAACGTATATTACAATATGAAAGACTGTTCGAAATCACTGACATATTTAGAACGTACTCTAGAAATACTACAACGTGTATTGCCTCCAACTGATCTTCATGTAGAAACTGTGAGAAAGAATGTTGAAACTGTAAAAGAAGAAATTATAAAGAATGTTGAATAAAAGAACGTTTTGTTCGCTTATTTTCGAAGTAATTCTATTTTATAGTGATTCGCGCACACGTACAGAGAATCTCTGTAAATAATTAAAATGTATTGTACAAAGCCGACTGATAAGGTAGTACACATACATACATATATGTATGAATGAATGATCATGTCAGACATATCTACCTTTCTAATCGTTTACGAGAGTATTCTCTGTAATAAAAAAAGATTTAATCTTCACGAAATAATCTAAAAGAATTTTTCAAATATTTATGTATGTGTCATGATTATATTCAAACAATTTCTAATTAAGACAAGAATAATGAAATCAAGTGAAAAATTAAAACAAATCATTTTATATTAACTTTTGTTTCCATTATTTTAATTAAATAACTAAATAAAAGATTTTGAGTAATTATTACTCACAAACAATACACAAAATTTAAATTTATATATAGATACATTATAACAATCTAAACAAAATCCTTGGATATTGAAACCTAGTGAATATTATTTGTAACAATTTATCTATTTTTCTATAAAAATTTTAATCTGTGATAATTTATTGTTTAATTGGTGCAACGACTATTCTATGATATGTATTCATGTTTAATTATATTATTACTAAAAAATAAAATTTTTTCAGTACCCAAATAATTTTCTTATTTATTTCAAAAAAAAGAAAAAAAAAGATTCTAGTTTATTCGTATGTTTGTTTATGTAGTTACTTGATCAATATGTGAACTAATACGTATTTTCTTTTTCGATCGTTTACATTTAACAGATATTTGTTGATATAACCGTATGCAAATCATTAATATTGTAATCGTACAAAATATCCAAAATAAATAATAATTTAAATTATTTGAATTCACATCTGTATCAAGTAAGGATAATTGACGTAATGGTGGATAAATAAAAATATACCCAATAAATAAATAAGGTGTCCATATTGATCGAAATTCATCTTTATAAACAAATTGATCAAGGAGATAATAAATAAAAAGAAAGAAAAGCATTATTGTCAAGCCTATTGTTGTACAAATACTAGTAAATGTTGGTGAGACTGTATTTGGATCGAGATGAATACCAATATATTCAATAATGGCACATGTTGTTGAATAGGCAACCGATGTAGTATAAAGAAAAAGACTGTTTAAAACGAAATAACGTAAGATGATTAAATCAAAGGATCTAAACAGAAATTATAAAACAGAAATATATACTAACATGTAAATCAACTTACAAGCCAGCGGCTTTATATTTCTCTTCGTATTTTAATAAATTTACGGCAGTAAGTCGACAAGTTACCACGAGAAGACATAAACTGAGACATAAACATACGCAAGATATCTAAAGAAATAAGTTTTTATTTTATTTAAAAATTAAGACTAAAATTCATTAGAAATACTTCTGCTGATAGAGATGATTGACTAAGTGTTTGAAAAGATAATGCACTGATGAGAAGAAAACAAAGAAATGAATTAAATATATTCGGATTTCGATAAAGATATCCGATATGAGTACGTCTTGGAATGTATGATAAAACATAAATTAACCAAAATGCCTAAATATAGAAAAATCATAGGCAAATATATGAGAAATAAAAGAAAATACCTGCCAATTTTCTGCTAAACGATATAATAAACTTTCGATGACTATACTTGGTCGTAAATCCGATGTATAAACACGAGTAATAGGTCGTATTGCTAGATATGACCAGAATTCTTTTAAGAATAGAAAAGAATATTATATTATATTAAAGATTATTTTATTACGCGAATTTGTTTGTATTGTTTCTGGTATGTAAGCTCTCAATGTATGAAGAAGATAGGCGAGAGCAGTAAAGACCATAAAAATAATTTGTGTATTATCATGTTTATTTCGAGAAATAAGACGAGCATCATTTTCTTTCTCATTAGGATTAAAATCACCAGTACTTAAAACATAATGAGCAGGATTTGCTGCTATCTCTGGTGAAGTATTAAACTATGAAAATCAAATGAAATTTATCATATTTTTTATTAATAACTTCATTCATATCTACTTTATTATATCTTGAACGTATATTTTTTGTATCAGACATTTGATCAAATTTAATATAAGCTGGTTCTGATTTTTGTGTCGAATGTTGCAATAGAGACTTATCTTCACTCAATAGATTCGACATATTTTTCTAGTGAATAGAATGTAAAAAAGAAAGATGACGTTTTGCTTTTGTCTTCATATATCATAACATACAGCTGTTACCAATTTCAATACTATCTCTTTTATATTTCTTATATGTGATAGTTTTTCTTTTTTTCTGGCCTTCAGTAATATATATATATATAAAAACATCATCATTAACTTTTATCTTTATACAAAAACTTCATAAATAATTAAAAGAAGTTAGTTGCTATTCGACATATGTGTAGATATTGAAAATGATATAGTTTCATGTGAAAAATGATAAGTATTGAAAGCATAATTATTTAGACAAAGAAATGTAATAGAAAATTCTAAGATTATGCATTAATTTAGTTCGTAAATCAATAGTTTATGCGAATAGCTAAATGTTATATAAAAGATATACTTGTAATATTACAATAAATAAATATCCGTACAACACATATTGATTTGATTATCTTCTTAAAACCACTGTTAAACAAATCATCGAATAATCATAGTCATTCATAAAGTCTCGAATATAAATTATCTGACATGAATAGATTTCTGTCTTATAGTTTAATTAAATACTATCAAAGAATATTACAAGATATTTTGTTAGGGAAGGTGTAGCAAAAATAGAATTTTTCGAAGATTGGTGAGGGGGTGTTACACCCCCGACACTCCCCGATCGCTCCACCCCTGTATTTTGTGTACTGATAAGTGTGTTCAATGATAAAAGAATGAATACAATTCGAAATCACAGATAAGATTCAATTTCGTTAGAAATGTTATGCAATCGATACAGAATAGATCACGATAGATATATGTATAGAGGTATTATGATTAACTTTTTTTTATTCATTTATTGTGTATTCATGTTTATGCAATAAAAATGAAAGTGATGTTATTTAAATCAAACGATCAAGGTGATTATATAAACAGTTCCATCATTCAAGAGTCAATTATTTAGATAAGGAATGAAAATTAAAAAAAAAGAAAGAAAGAACAGATAAAAAGAATCAATGAAAAATTCAATACTATAACAATTTCTATTCACATTCGAAAAAATGATGATCATCATCATCTTCTTTCTTCTACTTTTTACTGGTCATGTTCATACTGGACTTATACCATCATATAATTCATCAAGTAATTTTTTCTTCTCTCGTTTATAAAACAAAAAAAAAAACAGTTTTATTATTTTAGATTTTAATGAAACTGAACCTAGTCAACCACTTGTAATCTATAATAATAATAATCATAATGATAATAATAATAATGAAACAATATTCAATGGTAATCAATCATCAATTCAAACAGTTGATAAAAAACAATTTGCTGATACGGTTGTGGATCTTCTATTAGATTTATTAGAAAAAGCCAATCTATCTCGTACTGTATCTGTTATTCATAATGATACAGAATTAACTGAACTTGTTGAACAAGACGATGATATTAAAACAACAACAACAACGACGACGACGACGACGACGAAATTAATTGAATCATAAATGATGTTTGTTTTTGGAAATTTTAGTTTATTCTTGCCTATTTTATTTAATCAGATGACGATACACATTATACTTCTTTTTGTGATTATCACTTTAAAAAAAAACTAACAACAAGATATTTTAATCGCTAATAAAAATTCTATATATTTATTTTGCACATGTATCCGTTTTAGATCTTCGTTTAATTGGCAATGATGCAAATAAGTCGAAATCTGAGTGTTTGATGAGTATGAAAGTAAGACACAAAATGAATTTAACCTTGGTATAAATTGTTCTATCAGTTAACAAGCAATTCTCAATTTTTTAGTTATTATTTTTCATATAAAACAACTATTATATTTTAACTTTGTGTCACTGATATGCATTTGTTATTGTCCAATAAGATAAATTTTTCTTTATTTAGAACAATAATAATGGTCTGATTCCTATACATGAGAAAATATATCATCTGCTGTTTTTCTCATCGAATAAAGACATGCAGATTGTATTATATTCTCAATATTGTGATTTACCTTCGTTATTATAAGACAATGCTTCGAACTACGACAATCGTTTGCTTAATTGCTTTAGCAGTGCATGTAATATCTATATTTACATTTTTTTTTTCTCAAATGATTGATTAACTTTAGATATTTGCATTACCTGAATACATTGAAAATCTTGAACGTGATTTATCTTTATTACCTGAAGAATATCAACATATAGCTCAAGAATTCAATTCAAAGCGTGCAGCTGATAATGAACGAGAGTAAATATATATGATATTATTTTTCTAAAGAATAATTCTATTTTCAATAGTACAAGTGCATATTGTTGTACAAATTGGCAACATGTCAATAATGATGAAGTCGTTAGTAAAGTAGTAACATCAATAGTACAAAAAACACATACTATTATAGTTGGTTATCAAGATTGTCACGGAAATCTCAATCCAGAACGTATTTTAATGATTTGTTAAACTATATATATGATGAAAAAAAATAAATTTATCTATTGAAGGTCCACCAGTACCAATTCCAACTGCAACAGCACGTCCAATAAAAGGACAAACAACTCCATCAACTAACACACAAACAACAACTGGATGTATGTGGACACCACTTACCAAGACAGAAACTTAGTCAGTAGATGCTTATTTTTTAATTCATAAAGTTTTTTTCTTATAAATATTTAGTACGACTATTGAATATACAACCATAACTCATCTCGTACCAAATTCACATACATTTTGCGCTCCAGCCGATTATAAATGTTGTGCAGGTTATGTTATGCTTAATAATAATTGTATTCGTAAGTAAATCTATTATTTATTATATTTTATATATATATTTTTTTTATCTTGTTAGATGGATCATCCGTTAATAGCCTTGAATATCTTATAGCACTTGGTTTAATTGGTGGTGTTGGAAAAAAATAAATATGAAAAAAAGAATATAATTCGAAAATAAAAATATTTGCTTTGAAAACAAAGAAATAATAACAGAGCAAAACATATTATTTATCAATATTTTTATTTAATAACAAATAGAATAACAAAATATTAATCGCCAGCGATCAAATTTTATAAAAAAAAGAACAGAAAACAATCTAGCTTTTAGTTTTTATTTTCGTAGTAGTGATTGGAATTGATTTAGAAGAATTATTGTTGTTATTCTGAGAATTATTTTTTAATCGTCTATAATAAGAAATACAATAACAAAACGAACGTAAATCATATTTATCTTGGATACATGCAGATGTTTGACCATAAAGATTAATTCGAAGAATTCCACTATGTAATCGAATTCTTTTCATTGCAGAATCATAAAGTAAACGACTTTCAAATATTCCATCAGAAGGTGATACTTCAAAAAGAACTGTATATAAATGAGTAAAATTTGATTTTATTGTATCATTCGGTATTTTTATTGGTACATGTAATTCTTCAAGTTCAGCACGAATTATTGTTTTTAATTCAAGTGGCATGCATAGATGTTTATGATTTTTTAATTTTATATTATTTATATAATTAATACTATAAATAGCTAATTCTTTAATGATAGGTAATTCTATATCAAGTGGTATTGTAAGTGAACATGGACAATATTTGTCTTAAATAGAAAAAAAACAAAATTTATCGAAGAGAAAAAAATAATATTTGAAGGTCAAATTTGGAGTTTACGGATGTGTAAGTTTTCGCAAAAAACTCTACCTGAAAACTGTTTTGATTGCTCTAATAGATACTGTGGACTGTAATAACGAGGAAGGTTCACCAACTCTAAAATCCCTTTCGGGTTCAAACATAGTTGGTCATAGGTAATCGACCATGCTGAATCCGAATATCACGATCGTTACTGCTAGTGGAGTCCTTGGTTTTGTAGAAAAACAATTTTCCATTAAAAAGTGTAGGGGAAAAAATGAGTACGGAATATTTGAATTACTTATTCATATATTACGTATCCACTTTTATCCATGTTCTTCCCTATACTTGTGACTGTCGTGGCTAGTCACGTCAGTCTTTAGTCATAGTACCTCACGTCAGTGTGCTAAAACAATAATTTTTCATATGCAATTTAATGTGCTCTATCACCTAGTAACATCAGAAAATCATTTCAGAAAAAAGCAAAAAAAATTTTCTAATGGAAAACTAAGACCTTTTGGACTCCATTAGCAGTAACAACCGTGATATTCGGATTCAGCATGGTCGATTACCTATGACCATCTATGTTTGAACCCGAAAGGGATTTTAGAGTTGGTGAACCTTTTTGAGTGCACTTAACTTGACTACATTTGAATGATTCTATTTACCTGGTATGCCAGCAGATGAACAATTTCGTTCAGGTATAGGATGAAAAAGTGATATACCCGATGTTGTTGGTTGCCATTTAACGCGAAGAGGATCGAGTAGATGTGGTTGTTCAACCATTTTTAAAATATTAACAAAAGTTTCATAGACGTCCCACCATGATGTCAACGCTATGAAGATAAATAGATATATCTAATTGGATTTAACTAATTATTCATGAGAGTAAGAGTGATAGTTAAATATTACTAATACGGGAAATGCATCCATACTGTATTCAATTACTATTTAAATATTAACATAAAAGTGTTATATAATGTTAACTCAACTTCCTGCCATTACGAGAATATGAAACTTACTTTTCTGATTATTTTTAAGGTTTGTAATAGCTTGTGGAAATTGTTTTTCAAATGATTTAGGTAGAAGTATTGAAAAAAATGGTAATTTAACTTCGAAACTTCCAATACGTGTAAGTCTTAAGCGATGTTGTCTATGACCATGATCACCACAAAATATTAATATTGTATTATCTAATAAATGTTTTTCAATTAAATCTTGAAAAAATGTTTTTAAATCTCTATCAATCCAAAAAAGTCTTTCCAAATAATCATGACTCATTTCATTCATTTTCATTATACCAAATGTTGGATAATTAGGTGTTTTATGATAAATATTTAAAAATTCTTTTAACCAATCTAATGATAAAAAATGTAATAATTTATCTAAATAACATGGCTTTGGATTTGAATTTCCTGAAAATGTATTGTAGGATAATGTTTCATATAATGATAACCAATATGGACGTAAATAATAATCTGTTGGTGATTGACGAAAACCATTTTTTAAATTATACAAAGCACTATCACGCCATTCTTCACTAAAAAATGTTGTATAATTTAATTTTGAAAAATTTTTTATAATAAAAGAATAATTATCATAAGGTCCTGGATAATGAACAATTTTTTTTATTTCTGTACGATTTTTTGTTTTACGATCAATTAGAATTTCGGTTGTAAGAAATTCATATCGACTATCATTTAAATTCGGTATTTGTAAATCACTAGCTAATTGACCAAATAACATCGGTATAATATTTTCAAATGTACCATCACCCACAACTGTATGACGTTGAAATGTATATAAACCAAGAGATTTTAAATAAGATAATGTATGTGGTAATGCACGTTGTGCTTGAAGATTACTAACTGCATCTAATATAACCGTAATTACAGATGGCGGAGAATAATTAGATGAAAAACGTTTTTTTGAAATTTTTTCTGACCAAATCTTCGAAGGAAATGGTGGTTTTTTTAAACGAATTATTGGATGAATATATTCATAGACAAGTGTACGATTTCGTAGAATTTGTTTTTGCACTTGACTCATATTTTTATACTTTGAACAATTATAACCACTAAATAAAAGAAAATGTTCTGTTTCATTAGAACATATGTTAATATTTCTCTATTTGATGCAAGGATTAAAGAGATCGAAATTCGAGCTTTTTGTTCGCTTCTCAAATATCTGACTATTAACTATCTGTTTTGCATATAAATAATTTTACAAGTTAATAACTAAAAAAACAAAGATTCTTTTCAATACTTTTATTTTATGTTTTAAATTTAATAGAGTAACCTACTCAACACTCAACTATGAAGTATCAATTTTTTAAAGTAATATATTCATCGACTAGTTGCACTTGTATTATTATTGCTCGTTGAAAAAAAAACTATATCAAAGAGTCATTTCTTTTTTTTAAACTTAATTCATATGATATCATCTGTAATTAATATGCATAAATTTTTACTTCTATTTATCATTTGCTCGATTAAATTATACTTATTCCAATTCATTTAATACATCTGCTAAAAGCATTAAGAAAAAAGAACATTTTTCAAAAATATTTTAGTCTATGAATAATAAATAAAAAATATAAAATGCTCGCTTTAAAACCTGATTTCACTTAACAAAAGTAATATTAATATTTATAACTATTAAACATACCAAAAATATTCTCCATGAAAATATTCTTTTCGATTATTATAACACCGTGTTAAAACAAAATCAGCATCTAAAATCGATTCTGTACGTCCATTAATTATTAATATCGGTTCAGATAAAGTATAAGACCAATCACGAAAATGTTTTTCTTCAGGATTTCTATCAACTTTCAAATAAACACAATGTGTTATTAAACCAGAAAAATATGTTTTATTTA